AAATTCTGTGTGAAACTAGGCAAATTTGCCACAGACACGTTTGAAATGATTTGGCAAGTTTACAGCGATGCTGCAAGGAGTCATTCGATGTGTTTTGAGTGGCAAGCACACTTCAAGAGCACAAGAACATCACTGGAAGACGACGAGAGATCAGGAAGACCTTCAACAAACTCATCCCCTTGAAAATGTTAAAACCATTTGGCCACCTGTGCATGTTGATCATCACAAAACAATTCACAACGTTGGGTGTACGGGTTTCACACAGAATTTCACGTTTGCTCTTTGTTCGAACTTGATGTCCATGATGAAGTAGCAAACAAGGTAACACACTGGGTCAGAACAGCACCAGTTGCACAGTTCCTGATGTACACAGGACAATGTCTTTTGGCACACTGACTAATGAAGGTTGGTTCTCCCTGTGACACTGCATGCAGCCCTATGCTGCCATCTGTTAGCGTGTTACAAAACTAGTTTCAAAACATTTTGATACCACCTCATATGTGCAGTAATCTACGATGGATCAACTACTGCACTTTGCCACTGTACATGAGCTAATATTAGGGTTTGCAAGGGTATTTGGTGCATATTGTGTGATGTATAGTCTTTACGACTATTCAGGAATATATTTAAATAAAACTTGTTATGCTCATAGTTAAACTTTAAGCAATATAAGTGAAAATATGAGTGCCTTTTTCCTGCCTTCAGTTCTCCTACCATCAACCCTATTCCGTGCCATGGTGCCGTGGTAACTGCTTCCCAGCAGGTGTGTTTGGGCATTTTTCATAATCAGGAATACTCTGACATACTGCTAGCAATAGATGAGATGTCATAAAGTGACTGTTTCAACTTCTAATAAGGGTGAAGTATTGGCAATCCCTTCTTTCAGAAATCATAAGGTCAATCAAAGCAATCAAAAAGGAGAAAAAGTCTGATGGGTTTTCAGTTTTCAATGACTGACACCTATGCAATACGCTGAGGCTCTACATATATTAAAAGAAAAGAATTAAAAGAAAATCAAAATATAAAGTTAACAACATTATACAGTATATGGCCTAAATTTACCCTTAATATTTTCAAATACAGAGAATTTGTCAACACACTGACATGTAGCAATGCATATGTACTGAATAGATTTGCGAACAAAAGCACACAACTCTTTCGAGTTTCTGACAGTAAAACAAAGATGCTAAAATTTCTGGATGTCTTGGATATACCTGGCTTCGCAGATACTGATGGTACAAAATTTATCTCACTTTTGTCCTGACAGTGTCTCTTTATGATGCTCATCTGAATTCCACAATTAACAAAAACACAAACTATCATATATCCCATGCTCAGATTTACAAGAATTAATAGAAGGCAGACTTAGAATAATGTGAGAAAATCTTCCTTTTATTGTGCTTGTAGAGTTCTACATTTGCACAATAGATCAAAACAATGGTTAATAATATTCAAGATTTGGTATACTGTTGAATACAGATGGAGTGTATGCACTGTGATATTATGATCCATTTTGCTATTATGACAACGTATATACCTCCAATGTGATTGAGCTATGGAACTTGCATTGGATGTTCTGTATATTGTGCCTCCAGACTTTATGTTTATTGTGTTACTACATGCTCGGTGATTACTAAAACCTAATAAAAATGATCTGATTAAAATAAATTGCTGGATCTTGTTTGATGATGTGTTGGCTTTATTAGCATGAATGTAAAAAAGTGCTTTCTACAGGGTTTCAGCCTGCTATACCAAATTTGTTTTATGTGTGACATTGTTTTAAAGTAAGTGACTTCACTTTAAAGGGAATGTGCAGAACTTTCAACGTCTGTGTACTAGACAGATTGCTGCATCGTTTCACCCAAAATGTAACTAACTCGCTATACATACCTTTTCTGAAACTTATCTAGTCCAGTCTCCAGCAGCGGATGCCGTGTACAGGAGAGAACGGACATCGGCAGAGAAATGCCTGGGAAGTGGCATCACCAATAGACTTTCTATGGGGCTTCCGTTATTGGCTGCCTCTCCTGCACATGCCTACACATTGAAGCCGCCGCTGACAGTTCAGCGTGGGACCAGAGCAGCTGCAGAACAGGTATGTATAGCAATTTCTTCTTTACAGGGCTAAATAGATTAGTTTTAGAATGTAGGTTTAGAGTTTTAGGTTTTGCATAAATTTCTACTTTGAGCTTTACAAACACTTGTCTTACTCCTTATGAAAGAACTACCCTAATGAGCCCGCCACAAAGGGGGGGGGGGGGGGGGGAATCAGACACTTACAAAATATTGAATAGACTTTCCTTGCAAAACACAGGAGAGCATTCCTACATGTGTAAGTGGGGAGTAATTCTGGGGGAGAATTGTGTTTGGAGGTGTGGAAAGTCATTTGGGCATAAACGGTACAAAGTTCAATTTGCACTCTCCATAAAAAAAACATACAAGATATTTTATCACTTTATCAAACCCCAGAAATTCTCCACTCCATCCACCCAACAGGCAGTGATTACTATTGGTGGTGTAAAAAAAGGCAATTCTCTCACGTTCATACATTTGAACAAAGTTTGCTTATTAAGCCTTATTGGGAATCGGTTCATGCCCACATTCAACACATCTTTGATTCAAGAATTTCCTCTATTCCTAAACTTTTCTTTTGGACATGCCTCCACCAGCCTTTTCTAAAAATGCTAAAGTATTATCACACACCCTTGCTGCAACTAGATGCCTGGTGGCACTCAACTGGAAAAAAAAACACAACCTCGATCCCTTCTAGCAGTACATGCTGTAGTTAAGGATGTTGAAGTGATGGAAAACCTTACAGCATGCTTACATGACACTCTTGGACAACATAATAAAGTTCGGGAGTTATGGCATTACAAGGAGGGTTTCCCTTAGGGAGGATCTTCATGCATAGCACTACCATGCTGAGAGACTAGAGCTTCCAGTTTGGAGGGTGGAGAGATTAGTGCTTCTTTCACTTTTTTCTCAATTTATTTCCTTAGCTTTCTACCTGCTTTATTTACTTTGGATTGTGTTATTTGTATTCCATATTATGTTAAAGGCTTAGTATATGGTTATATCTGACATATTTGTATTGGGCTTCAGGAGATTTAGATTTCCCTATGTTTATCTGATCTAGAAGGACACTCTCCCATGTATGCTAAATAGCTATGCTATAAGAACTGTGTGCCATCGATGGGAGAGTAATCCTACAAAGATGTCCATGTCGACATAATTACTACTGGATTACCAATACATATTTTTCCTACAGTATCTGAAATACTGTCTTTGTATTGCCTATGAGCTAATGGAGATCAATTCTTGGCTGTTACTCTCTTCACTGGTAAATATTGCTCTATTCATGTCCCACATTAGAAAGTGTTGTACATGTGTTTGTAGTCTGGGAAAACAATAAAAAGAGTTACATACATATATATTAAAACACTGTTCTTATGTACATTATGGCAGACTTATTGTATTTGTAATATATACTATATATTTTTCTTTTCATTTTATATGAACTCATACACATTATGTATATGGTTTTTGGAGGGGGATGTTTCATGTGAATTTTTTTTCCAGAAGAGAATTGGAGCAGGGTAAGACAGTGGGCTCTATATTAAGAAGAGGAGTGTGGAATGTATGGCAGCAGGTAGTATGTACTAAGCAGAAAGATATGATGGCGGGCAGATAGCTATGGTCAAAATTTACAGTAAATACAACATGGGGCGCCAGTCAAAACCTTGAACAAAGAAACAGTGCACGGAAGCAGCTCCTAAAGAGTGTGCCAACACTCTATGTACAAAAATATCTATAACAAAAAAGGTGCTATTCCCATTCTGATAAAATGATGATCAATAACATGTGAATATTACAAAATATATAAAATATAGTGAACATTGATTACAGCCATAAACTATATAAAATAGCCTCTGCAAGAAATACTCATCTTAAATCATAATGTCCATAAATTCTGAGCTTCCTGATGATGCGATTCCGCAAAATGCATTGAAGCCGGGCCACTGTCGTCACTTCTATTCCCCATTGTGCCTCACTTCTGGTGATCTGAATTCCATTTGTGGAACGCACACTGGCTCAGTTAGAGCGGCAGTGCTTCAGTGATTTGTTTCCATGTTATGTGAATTTTCAAGTGCCTGGAGTGGCACTTATAAATGTGAGTGGATCTTTGTTTTTATCTTATGCACTTTTAAATAAAATATACTACACTATGGCATAAACCCCTTCTTTTTGAGTATGTGTATTGTCACAATTATATTGTTTTAACAAAAGAAGACCCTGGTGACATCGGTTTCCTCTGAAGCTGTCCTGATTATGTGGTATGCACGAATTGAAGTAGATCTGGTAAGCCTTTTATCTTACTACATGTGGTAGTGAATAGACACCAAGTGGAATTTCACACAGGTGCTGGGCATATACTTTGAGTGAAGATTCACAGAAGGTCATTGAATGGATAAAATTAATTTATGGACATTGTGATTTATGATGATTATTTCTTGCAGAAACTAGTTTTATATGGTTTACGGTTGTAATCAATGTTCACGATATTTATATATTTTGTAATCTTCACGTTATTGATCATCATTTTATCAGAATGGGAATAGCGCCTTTTTTGTTACAGATCATTTTTGTACACAGATGGCCAAAATTTAGCCAAAAAATAAATTGGCAATTAAGCGGAGTCAGTTGACTCAATAACAATATGGCCCATATATCTTGTCTCAACAGTTGTTATTAGCAACTAGAATTCATTACAGTTAGTCAGGGGTCGCCAAACTTTCTAGACAAAGGGCCAGCATACTGTCCTCCAGACTTTAGGGGGGATAGACTTTGGCCAGTGGGAATAGAAAATGTTCTCGGCATCAGGGGAGTAAACAGTGCCTCAGGCTTGGTAGTCAGTGGTAGTACAAAATTACATAGCTAGTGCCTGTGGTCATTAGGAGGAAGAATGCCTCATCATTGGCATCTGTGGGATGAATAGTACACCATCACTGGTATCACTGGAAGGAATAGTGCCCCATCACTGGTATCAGTGGGGGGAAATAGTGCCATATCATTGGTATCAGTAAGAAGAATAGTGCCCCATCATTAATATTCATGTGAGGAACAGGGCCCTATCATTAGTATCAGTGGGATAAATACTGCATCATCATTAATATCAGTGGGAGGAATAGCTCCCAATCACTGGTACCAGTGGGAACAAAAAAATTACAGTGTCAGTAGGCAGTAGGAGGAGGAATAGTGCCCCATCATTGGTGTCAGTGGAAGGAATAGTGCCCTATCATTACTATCAGTGGGAGGAACAGTGCCCCATCATTGGTATTAGTGGGATAAATAGTATCTCATCATTGGTATCAGTGGCAGGAATAGTGCCCCATCATAGTTATCAGTGGAGTTAATAGTACTTCATCATTGGTATCAGTGGGGGTGGGGAATAGTGCCCCATCATTGTTATCAGTGGGAGGAATAGTGTCCCATCATTAGTATAGGTAAAATCAATAGTGCCTTATCATTGGTATCAGAGGGGGTAAAAAATTACATAGTGCCTATGGGCAGTAGGAGGAGGGATAGTATCCCCTCATTGGTATCAGTTGGAGGAATAGTGCCCTTGTCATTGGTTTCCATGTGAGGAATAGAGCCCTATCATTAGTATCAGTGGGATGAATATTGCATTGTCATTAATATAAGTGGGAGGAATAGCTCCCAATCATTGGTACCAGTGGGAATAAATAAATTACATTGTGCCTGTGTGCAGTAGGAGGAGGAATAGTGTCTCATCATTAGTATCAGTGGGAAGAATAGTGCCTTGTCATCAATATCAGTGGGAAAAAATAATGCCCCATCATTGGTATCATTGGGAGGAGAAGTGCCTCATCATTGGTGTCAGTGAGAGTAATTATGCCCCACTATTGGTGTCAGTGGGAGAAATCGTGCCCCATGGGCCAGATAACGGCTAAAGGGCCACATCCGTCCCATGAGCCACAGTTTGGAGACCACTGCACTAAGCCAATAAGAGCCAGTTCCTAACCTCTACATCTATTACAAATAGAACAAAAAATAAGAAACAACAAGTATACAATAAAGTGAAAGTCACCTAAAAAAAATTTTTTAGGTAAACTCTGCAATAAAACTTACAAAATATGTGCTTATAACTGAAAATATACTACACTTTTGATATAAATTGTTTATACAATATAAGAGACATGTACATTGTAATTTGTCAGTAATTAAGTACAATGTTATAAAGTAACCGATTACAATCATTATTTTCCAGCATACAATGTTTACAGTTTCCATTTTTCAGTTATTTGGTAATAAAAAAAAAAAGATATGCAAAAAAAAAAAAAAAATAAAATCACATTGCAATTATAAAATCGACTGCAAAATTTGATAGATGTAAAGATGATTTAGCAGCCTCTTCAGACACAAGGAATAATGCATACTGCACACCTTTGCAGGTTTCGTGCTTGAGAACCTGAGCAATATAGGTCCTGAGTAGGCTATTCTTATAACTTATCCTCTGAGCCAGTGTGACTCACTGTGAGCCAAACCTTTTTAGCATTCAGAGGATGGCACTGCCACTGCAGGACTGGGTATTAACATAACCCAGTGTGTGTAAAATATGCTGATTGCATCAGTGAAATTCCATTTGCAAGAAATATGATCACATAGTATATAAAAAAAAAAAAAAAAAACACCTGCCCTGTTCTAACATAACCCATAGATCATATATGGCTATAAAAAATTGACAAAAGTGTACTTTACAGTACTGAGCTTCAGTACTTGGTAAAATACAGTTTCTGTATCATTTCATCTATATATACCTACAAGAAAAGCAATCTGCATGTAACTGCTGAATCATCTCTTAAAATCTACTGAAGGGAGGGATTAGTACATACTACTGCAGGGACTTAAAGGGTAATTCCACTTGAGTGTTGAGAAAAAAAAAAAAAAAACATTCCCCGCTGGGTGATCTATGTACATTGCAAAGATTTTAACAAACTTTGTTGCAAATTCCGATCTTTTGTTATTCTGAAGAAATAGCTGTTTGTCTGTGTCCATGTGCAGAGTGAATCTGTATGGGAGTGGTTTTACAATTATCAGTCTGCTGCTGCACCTACAGGGCTCTAATGAAGAAAACTGCATCCCTTTAGACATGATTTCCCTTTGGGGGTATCTCACCCAAAATGAAATTTTTGTTGCAGGGGATGTGCAAAATCTGACCTGTAGCTTGTGCAGACTTCTGGGAAAATCAGTGCGCCAATCACTCAAGCAGGAAATGAAATTTTCAGGGAGTGTTCTGTACACTGTGTACAGAATGCCTTCAGGGAGTTACAGTATATTGCATTGCATTTTGCAGAAAATTTACAGCGCTGCAGATTGAAAAGGAAAAGTAATATTACGAACATTCAATTATAATATGTCATGAGTAGCAATTGTATATGCTATATTATTTTTTTTATTTGCCATTTTTTCCCATGAAAGTGGAGTTACCCTTTCAGGTGAATCTAAAATAATCACTCATACAATCATTAAAGTATCAATCTAGTTTACTTTTAACATCCCATGCCAGACCGTTTCCATGCACCTCTGCTTTTCCACGACTTTCTCTTTACAAAAAAATCTCTTATACATATTTTAAATCCGGCTGTCCATTAATATCGCAAAGTTCTGTGTCAGTGGATAGTTCACATAAAGATTTAGTTCAGGAGTACTATGAGACCAGGCTGCATGATGAACCACCCCCAGGGTACATCCATGACAAACAGAGTATACTACCTGAGAGACAATAGCCACAAATATTTTTTGAGTGGTAGAGAAACAGAATAGGCCCCAAACTTAGAGGTGCAATGCAGGACTTTCCTTGCAGCAGGGGTCCTGCAGCAGAAACTTTCTGTACATGGGCAGTGGAATACATCACAAACACGGAGACAGAGAGGTAGGTTTTGTCTTGAAATAAACATAAGAGTGTGTTATCAGAGACAATAGCCAGAAATATTTGGGTGAGAACCAAAAAAAAGGCCCCAAAAGCACAATGCAGGATTTTCCCTGCAGCAAACATTAGTACATTTTTGGCTAAAGTATTTTGAAACAGTAATATATTTGTTTTCCTGAAGGCTGGACAAATTATATTTGCAGTATTTTAATGTAGCACCTAATTTGCATTAACATTGTTTGATTTAATTGTAATGCAAAGTTCTTCATGTGGGAAAGAAGGCAGCTCCCACCCAACCCACTGAGCAAAGAAATAATTAATGTTGTTCACTTAACTGAGACACGTTTTGTGACATTTCAAATGTAAATGCTGATTAACCCGAGGTCACTGTAGAGCATCCCAGTACTTAAATGTAACATAAATGAGTTTTACAATTGTTGACATCCTACCAATCCGTATTTTGTATGTGTGTATAAACACTACACGTTACACAGACAGAGTTCAGGCTAGTGTTACTAATCTGGAAACAAGCTTGAAAGCACACATTGGACAGAAAATGGAGTGTAGGAAATGTGAAGGTCTATCCCTGCGGGAACCAGCTGGATCATAGTGGTCATTTTGAAAAGAAAGTTATAAAAATGAACGATAGTATTTGACTGGCTACCTATTGGAAGCATCTGTGCTTTTTCAGTAATGTACGTTTTACCCCAATTATTCTATTACCAGTGCATAGTTTTTTTAAATTACCTACTGTGCCCAATAGGAAACAAAACATCCGCATGACCTGCAAATGTTCATTATACCAAACTGTCAAGGCAACTCAGATGTGCCCTACGACAGACACATGGAAACAGCACAGTGTAAACAATGCCAGGCAACTGACAGGTTGCAGCATTATAAAAAGAGTGGCTCCCCTTGAGCTGATGTCAGCAATCGTATTTAACAAGCTAATAAGGAAAGTGGGTGATATTTTTAAAGCCAGATCCACCCTTAGAGAAGAAAAAACAAACTTTATAAAAACAATTAACAGAAATGCCCATTTATGTAAAACACACCATGAACATGCACATAATGTTATTAGGATCAACAACCGTACATGCGGGTTTTGAGGGTGTTCCCTCAATGCCCTACAGATACCTGGCAAGAAAGGGGAAAATCTCTAATGTAATGAAAGGTCTAATGACAAGCAGGATGTGAAGTTTTTTTAGCAAGGGTTTAGAATAAACATCCTCATCTTCTGATGACCAAGAGCTACCAATAATAGACACCTGCAGGGCCCTATCTGGTCAAAATTTGCAGATATTAGGCCCTTCAGAAGGAGACTGGCTGCAAGGGTCCAAAAAAGCTGACCCTCTTCTGGGAAGGTCAGCCAATCATCCCAAAATGAAGATGCCATGGAAGGGCCCTAGCACTCTGCGAAGTAGCAGGTGCCTCTGAAAAATCCTAGTTAGTGTAGGGAACAGCAGGAACTGGTCCTGGTTGGTCTTGTAGGTCATAAAGTCCCTCTGCAAAGGAAGGATGCTGAGGGGCAACTGAAGGAATGCCCTGCATGCTAAATGTTTAAATGGGGTGTTCTGAACACCCAAATTACAAAGAGGCAAACTACACAAGGAACTATCCAGATATACAATCAGCCCCCCACTTGTTCTTCATACAAAAGGCATTTTAGAGAAGTTTGCTGACTTCTGGCTGCATGGCCTATGGACTCTGAAAGCCTATGGGTATCTGCTGCTGGTGCAGATGAAAGAGAAGGGTGAGACTCCTCTGACCTCTCAAAGGATAATCATGTCAGATACACCTTGAATAAGAGCATCAGTGCCCCAACAATAAAGCAAGAGTGTTCTAAGCATCTAAACAGACATCGGTCCCAATTGAGACACAGGCTTAAAAAGCTTGCAACAAGCCATCACATTTAAAGAAGAAAGCACTAGACATACTGTATGCTTCAGCTGCTCTATGAAACAGGGGCCAACTACAATGGTGGAGGGATCCGTCTTGAGGATATGTACTTATTCTGACAAAATAACATCACCACCAACACGGGACAGAGGTAGCTTTTTAGGACTCTGGGTAAGAGGTGGAGACAGGCCAAGCTTGATTTAAGAGCTCAGGTGGGCTACATACCAGGAGATGGCACTGGAGAACACTTAGAGCCTCTGTGTGCAAATTGTCCCACTAGCTCAGTACAAAGAGCTAAGATGTCCCGAGTGGACACGGTGGTAACAATGGACATGGAATAGGCCTGCACATTACTCAGTGGAGCTAAGGGAGACTCCGATGAGGACGACCCTATAACAAAAATGGTCTCAGAATCCAGGCATCAGTTCCCCCTGAAGATACCACATAAATTATCATTGAACTAGTGGTGGAGTATAGGGTGAAGGCATCCATGGCAGCAGGACTGTTCTCTCTTTGTCTTAGCGAAGACATGTTGCTTAAATGCAGTACTAATGCAGCTAGGTTCAATATGAGGCAAGGCCTCAGGTACTCAAATGCCTGGCAAGCAGTGTTGATGAGGATTCAGGAGGCCGAAGGTGCAGATATTGTCAGCACTTGATACCTCAGTCTTAAAACTTACTGCAGTAAAACTGTTGGTGTAGGAGATCTTAAAAGGTGCCACAGTAGATTGCGGTGTTTCAGCCCAACCAAATTTACTTAACTGTTTCCAGAGACAGGGTCACAACTTGGGCTGTGCCACAGCTCTGGCCCAGTGCCCGAGGGTCACATTTCAGGCTAGTCCTCATCCAGCAAGATGTGTGCAGGGACAGATTTCAAAGCTAGGCTGAGGAAATG